CCCCCCCCTTTTGCTTTCTGCCCCTTTCCTTTCCACCCCTTCCCTTTCCTCCACTTCCCCTTCCTCCCCTTCCCTCTTAAATCTCCAGTGAACACTTCAAACTTTATGTCTACATCTTATTAATTTGTTTTAGCACCTTGTTACAGGTACATTTCCTATATGCCAAGTATTAACTCTGGGGAAATATATCCATATTTTGCATGTAAATCTTTAGAGATCACTATTTTTCTCAGCATGACGATGTTGGAACAGAGAACAAAATAGTTGGCATCAGCCCTAAAAAACCACATACTTCATGGAACAGCCAAATGAAAGGCGTGATCAGTTGGGACAGAACACTGTGTTGATGGAGTATCAGGAGTAAATGGACTGAAGATTTTCTTCCAAGTACACATGGATGCACACACTTATAATTTGTTCTCCCAGGATTTGCAGATGTTCTTTTTGACTTCTAACCTTTTGGAATTTTTTTTGAGCTATCAGGAAGAACTGTCAATATACTGTATCTTTTAAGAGGCTTACATTTGTATTATAATGTGCTTTAATTCAAGCCTTAAGCCAAAGCTATTCTTAGATACTATTTGGTGCAGGAGTCAGCTTATTTGATCACATGAAAATCTGGAGAGAAGTGAAACAGTTTCATGGTTGCTCCTTGGGTAATACCACCACAGGACATTTCTCTGATCAACCTAGTGTTATAATTAGTTTTGTATAGGTAATTTGTTGGCTTTGGATTTGACTGAACTTAGGTTTAAAGCAGTGTTTCTCAAGTTCCTTAGGCTTGAAGTCATCTGAAGAGAGAACTAGTGAAAAAGCTGATGAGATATAAATCCCTGCACACTGCTAACATGATGCTACTTCACTGGACATAAGGGGAAGTGGCTTTTATTGTAGTGACCAGAAAGGATGGCAGTCCCCTCTCAGGCTGAAATGCAGGCAGCTGCTCACTTGTCCACATTTCCACCCTCCCTTCCACCCTCCCTCCCTTCTGTCCTTTCACACAGTGTAATACTTAAGTACTTGTCTGTTTGAAAAGAAACAAAAATAAATTCTTCAGTATCTTTTCGTTGAGATGGCTAGTAGGATGCCGTGTAGTTGAGGAGTTTGAAGTTGTTGAAGGCTTTCTGTACTAGCTTTCACTTAAACAAGGAACAAACAAAAAACCAAAAAAAGCCCATAAATCTACAGTGAAATTTAAGTCATGCAAACATTTTACCTCCAAAACTTATTTCCTTTAGCATTTGCTGTTTAAAAGAAAAAAAAAAAACAAACAAAAAAACAAAACAAAACAAAACAAAAAAACACCACCACTAAAGTGGGTTTCATTATACTTCTTTGCTAAAAGTGCGCTTTGCTACCATGCCTCTTAAAGTGCGTATAGTGGCCTCTCTCCAACTTAATGAAAATGGAGTGGGGAAAGAGAGATAGAGAGAGAGAAAGGAGGAGTGAGGTTTCAAGATAAATATGTGTACAGAGGTCCCTCCTCCATTACATTTGTAATGTCTTAATTGGATTTGGGAAGTCTAGAACCCAACAGGATGTTCAAATTAACTCTGTTTTATTAATCACCAGTGAGACCTCCTTTTAAAATAGTTTCCTTTGAATAATACATTGTTTCTAATAACTCTAAAATATTTAATGATTCCTTTTTCATTATAAAAATGGCTTATTCTTATTAGATTAATTACATATTCACTTAATTAGGCAATTCACATTGATCATCTGCCTGTTACAGTTCATTCCCAGTTACAGATATAAAACAAAACGAACAACACGCTGTCAGATTAGGTAAAACTGAAGCTTGTTAACTATTCTCTCCTTGAAGGAAGAACAGATTAACATGTTCCTAAATATATATTTTTTTTTACATTTTTACTTTTACAATTATCACTTGTGATAATTTAAGAGTTATTTTTATAGATTTTCTCATATTATCTGTTGAGTTTTTTACACAGGTTTAACTTGTTAACTCTTGTGGTGGTTTTTTTTTTTTTAACTTTCATCCTGTCTTTCTAATTATTGTTTCAGCACAGCACTTTCAGCCCTTTTTGATGCCTAAATTTTCACCAGTCTTTTATCTGTCTTGCCTCCAAAGAGGACTGCTTTACCACTCCTAAATCCCAGCCTAAAAATTGATTTGAACTGCTGTGGTTTTAAGCTTCTGAATAAATTGCACTGAAATATCATAGCAGTGGATTTTCAAGCACCATTTCTTTTGTCTTTACGTCACACAGTTGCATGTTTTAGTGAGTGTGAGAATTTACATATGTTTACAGATGTTCATTCAGTTTTCTTCTTAGATGTGATGTATTTATAATATTTCTATATAGGCACATTGTTCACTGTGCTGGAGTTTTGTGTCTTTGTTCTTCATTGCCTAAAGAGCAGCCTAGGAAAACTTTACTTTTCTCCCATATATTTAAGGAAAAAATCTTATGAAGAAAACAGTGTAATAATGAAAAATAAAATGTCAAAGTTGCATTGATAAGAAATATCAACTATGACCTAGTAACAAAGTCTTACTCATTTCTTCAGTAGAGTTTTATGCCAACAGAAGAAATGTCACCCTAGTCCATAGGAAGGTCAGTTTTTATCTTTGTCAATGAAATTAATAAAACTTACTTCACAATCCATAATTTCAGTGAATGAATTGTCCATTTCTGTCTGCCGGGTTAGCTAAATTCAGTATACGCTGGAAGATAAATAAACCAGAATGCATGGATCTACTATGTGCAAGTTTTAATCCTTGCCGGGATGAGAGAGCACGTGGCTGTTGCCCCTCCC